GATCGTTTGGCGCCCTGCGCGGGGATCTCTTGGCTCTGCGCCGGGCCCCCCCTGGCGGCGCCTCCAGCGCCGCCCCCAGCGCGCGGCTCGTCAGCGCCACCTCACCTCAGCATCTCACCTCACCATCGCGTAGCTCCTCACCTCAGCATCGTTTGGCCGATGTTCATTCCCACGGGACAGGGATACCTCGGCCTCACCAGCCCAGCTTCCGACGCGGTGATAGACACCGCAAGAACCGAAAGAGCGGGCATGCATCCTCACCTGGGTTGGTAATAAGCCGGTCAGCAGGGCCAAGGCCACGCCAGTGGGGATGGGGATCGGGCAAGCGATGCACATCACAGCACAGCTGCGGTTCTGGCTGCCCCATGGTGCGCAGGGGCCCCGGCGCGTGCGTCGCCCCTGCGCATGGGGCTGGCGCCCCACTCGCGGGCAGAAAGAACAGCTGCCCGCTCTCTTCTTGGCTTGCCCTCCCGGGCAGACAGTCGTCGGCGGCGAAACCCAAACCCAGCCCTCGCCGATCCACGATTCGGACAACTCGATGGGCGGCGGGGGTACAGGGCAGTTTTTAATACATGTTCCGCGTGCGGATCATGCATTAAAAATGCAGGGATCTAGCATTAACAACAACGATGAGTTCATGCATACATTTATTCATACATTAATCATGTATTAAGGATCCTATGTGTTCAAAGTAAAAAATCTGATGTTTCTAAAGATTCTAAGTATTAAAAACTGCCCTGTAGGGTCCGGAATTCGCCGCACCCGTGGCGAAAACTGACACCTATCCCCGCCTCCCATCGCTTCAAGGGAGCCGATGCTTGACGGGGGCAGGGTTCGGAGGTTGCCGCCCAAATCGAGTGCGGTGCGGTCGGGGCGGGAACGGAGCCATGCTGCAGAGGAGGAGCAGGTACCTACACCGTAGCCGTTGGCTCGTGTCTGCCTTTTGGGGGGCCTCCTGGGAGGCCCTCGCCGCCACGGTGAGATTCGAGCCTCGGCCTCCTGGCCAGAGCACACGTGCCTTGGGAGAGGTCCAGGGAGCAGCGGCATCGGTACGCCTCTGCCTCCCGCAAAGGGTTGGGTCGAGGGGAGCGGGGCCCGGGGCTTTGTCGCCGCCCTCGGGGCTCCCAGAGCCCTCCCACAGGGCCTGGGCCAGCGCCGAACATCGACCGGGAGTCGTCAAGCATGATGCAAGACCTGACCCACATAACACAGCGAGTTCGTGGCCTAACCCGGGTCCTCGGTTCTGGTTAGGTTATCCCTGAACATGTGGCTGGCTTCGCCCAACACAGCTTCAACAAAAAGGCCCCCCATCCCTACTGTCTCCGGCCCTTCCAACTTGGGTCCCCTCCCCAAGGATTTGGGGGTACTCTTGAGGACGAGGAGAGCTAATGCCCCTTAACGGCTTCTGCCCTCAGCCGGTGACCCCGTGGGCCGCCGCCCCCAGAGTCATCTGGCGCACCGGTTTTGTCATCCCCCCGCGGCCCGCCGGCCCCAGGGGGGACCGAACCGGCCCTGGGGGGGACTGGACTGGCCCTGGGTCAAGCAGTGGCGAAGCGTCCCGGCTCGCCTATAGCCCCACCAAGCAATGTTCTAAGAGCCTTGTGTGGTTCCCACGAAATGTTCTTAGACCATTTCTGGCTGGGACTGTTTTGCTTTAACACATCGGGTTATGTTCTAAGAACATTGTTTCCGTTCTTAAAACATTTTGGGGTTCTAAGAACATTTCGTGGTATGACTATAGGAATGCCGGGACGGCCGGTCCCTGCTCAACTGGGGGGGATGGCCTTATGTCAGGCGATCGCAAACATGGATCAAGTGTGCGTGGACCTGCCACATTTTGGGGAGGGCACCTCCCCCGATCCATGGATTTGGCGACCGCGCGCCAGATCGATGGATCGCTAATCCATGTTTGCGCGCCCCCGGTTATGTGTTGCTCCCATCGTACTTACGTGCCACATCCCAGAAATCAGTTCGGGCGCCCAGAACAAGCATCGAAGCAGTGTGTGTGTGTGCCCGCCGCGCTGGCGATGTGTCGAAGGAGTATCGCGTCCTGGGGCCCGACACGTGGAAACCCTTCAGTTTCGGGATTTCCTTGGTGCTCGAAACTCGTGCTTGTGAAACAGGGCAGGGAGTCGCAAGCCAGGACTCCGCAAAGTTCGGGCCGGACGAAAGGGGGGGATTGGGAAAGGGGGGGTTACGAAATTTGCTGCATGCAGCTGGTTTCGGCCCCACCGAGGGGCCCATTCCTCGATACATAGCCGCCTCCCGGCGCCGGGAGGCGCCAGGAAAATCAGCTACGTGAGCTGATTCTCACCCCCCCCCCTTTGCTATCCCCCCCTTTCGCCCGACCCGAAAAGTTCAAGCTGGAAGAGGTGGGATCCTGGGCAGTGCCTCGGCCCCTGGCGGCAGTATGCTGGGGTGCCTTCAGCGCCCCGGTGGTTCAAAGCCCCCGGCTTTCTCGGGCCACGACCTGTCGCCGATCGGGAGGCGGGGTCTCGTCAGGCGGGCCCAGGGATGACCTGCTCCTCCTCCTCCTCCTCCTCTTCCTCCTCCTCCTCTCCTCCTCCTCCTCCTCCTCCTTCTCCTCCTCCTCCTCCTCCTCCTCCTCCTCCTCCTCCCCCTCCTCCCACCCCCCCTCCTCCTCCTGCTCCTGCTCCCCCTCCTCCCCCTCCCGAGGGCGAGGGCGAGCTGCTCCGTCCTCCTCTTAGAGCAGGAAGAAGCCAGGGATCCCCGCCCCTAGCGTGGGAAGGAGGAGCGACACCACCAGCAACACGACCGCCAGGGGGCCACCACCAGCGCGAGGGCGTCCGCGGTGCCTCCCCGTGCCGGGGGCGTGGGGTGTCTCTAGCGGCTAGCGAGAGGGGGCGACCACATCGTGCGTGGGCTCGCGCTGCTTCGGGTTCGCGCTCGTGGACGGTTCCACGGCCTAGATGGGGTCGGAGTAGATGGGGTCGGAGGATCGCGCCACATCGTCGATGCATCGCCGATGCGGCTCGATGTGCAGCCCGATTTGCTCCACGTCGACGTCGCCGATGCCTCGCCCACGTCGACGATGCATCGCCGGTGCATCGCCGATGCATCGCCGAGGTATCGCCGATGCGGCGGGATCCTCCGACCTCATCTACTCCGACCCCATCTGGGAGGCCTCTAGGCAGGGTGCACCCAGGCCTCGGGTGGTTTCGCCCCGCTCCCCTGGGGAGCAGGGCGGGGCACCTCCTGCGCTGATGCAAAGAAGAAAACTCCAGGGGGGGCGGCCCTCCCCCCCCCCTGCCTGCCTCCTCCCGCTGGTGGTCCTGGATGGTGGTGGTGTCGCTGCGCCTGGCTCCGACCCTCTCCCTCCGAAGCTCCCCCCTCCCTGTTGTGTCGCTCCTGCTCCCCCCGCCCCTCCCTCTCCTCTTGCTCGGGGGGATCCCTGGCCGCTTACTCGACCCTGGGGGGGGGGGGGGCAAGACTCGACAGCCGCCGCCTTCGTCAAACATCTGAACATGTGCCGCTGACGCTTCCGGAGTCACTGTGCGCCAAAATCAAGCCTCCAGTGGGAGAGGGGATGGGTGGAGGACCAAAGGGCGTGAGGGGGGGAATCATCAGCGACCTCCCAGTCGTCAACGCTTCTGCATAGCATAGGGAGGGTGGTGTTCTTGCCCGAGGTGTTGCGGCATCTCCGCAATGTTTTAACTTCTTCAGGACGCCCCTTCTCCAGGCATCTCATTGGTGCGACTTTGACATGGTTCCGATTTTACTGGTCTTCGCGCAAGCAGGACGTGGAATGGGAAAGAGCAGGAAGTCGACGATGGACAGGCACGCACGGCGGGAGGGCCACCAGGAGAGGAAGGCGAGGGAGAGCATGAGGAAAACAAAAAGGATGAGGAGGATGAGGAGAGGGAAGAGGTGGAGGAGGAGGATCAGCAGGTGGACGAGTGGGATGAACTGGGACAGGAGACCCAGACCCCCGACGTCGTGATTTGTTCACTACGTCGAACCCAAAAAGTCTGGACTCCTCCCCGGGTCTGGTCTTTCATCCCGAGCCGTTGTTTGACGGTCCTGGGGCCAGGCAAGCCCCCCGCGGCCGAAGGGAGCGAAGCACCTCCCGCAACGAGTTGTTCACACCGCAAAGGGGGTCTGGGGACCGAGGAAGTCGGCGAGGAGGACGACGAGCAAGATCCGGCGAGCCTCGCCTCGGTCGGGGGCTCGCAGAGAGGGGGGTCCTCCGAGGTGGGTCTGTGGAGCGAGCCCCGCCGGAGGGTGCCCACATCTCCTTCCCTTTTCCAGGAGCCGTCTGGGGTGATGCTTCGCCCCAGCCCACCTCCTCGACGCCGTGCGCACTTTTTTGGTCTGCGGGTCGGGAGCGGGCCCCTTCCGGTCAAGAGCTAAACGGGACGCGGGTAGCCCTGATTGGGGAGACAGGGCGCGGGCGGGCGGGGCCTCAGGCGGCCGGAGGGCTCAGAACACAGGCGGCGCCGAAGATCTTGCTCAGGACAAGGTACGCCATGGAGACGCCGTGCGCACACGAAGTCTCCGCAGAAGGCGGAGCGCGTGCGCAGCTCCTGCGGGGCCGAACCGGACGGGCACCACGAGCGGCGCAGGCACAGAGGCTGCCGACGGTGCGCGCGGAGTCCTTGGAGAGCTGCGCTGGACGAAGCTTCGGTCGGGCACGCCCCCCTGCAGGTGGATCTTGCACGCTGAATTGTAAAATAGTCAAACAGCACCCCAGCAGGATCAAACCATATAGGAAAATCGTCCCCATTTACAGTTGCGTTTTATATACATGCTCCGCGTGCGGATCATGTATTAAAACATGCAGGGATTCAGCATTAAAACAACGATGAGTTTATGCATGCATTTATTCATACATCATCCCATGTATTAATCAATCCTATATGTTTAGATCCTATGTATTCTAGACTGCCCTTTAATGTTTCTACTATTTCTGAATATTCCTCCTGAAGAGGGACGTGCCCGACGTAAGACGACGCCCCGCCCCCCCCCCGCGGGCGCGCACTAGGAGCTGCGGGTGCTGGAGCAGCTGCGGGCCATGGAGCAGATCATCTCGGAGGCACCCCACGGCGGCGGGCCGTGGGCGCCCGCCCCCATGGGGAGTCGGGGGCAACGATCTGGGGGGGATGCGCACTGGGGGGTACATACATCCTTCCCCCTCTCCTTCCCCCTCCTTCCCCTCCCTCCCCCTCCCCCATTCCTTCCGATATCCCCCCTCCTCCTCTCCCCCTCTTTCTCCTCGATGCCCATGCGATCGATCCGCCTCGATCTGAGTCGATGCCGAGGTCTTGGCGAGTCCATGCGGCCCAGAATTCGGGCAACGATACGGGGTGGGATGGGCCCAGAGGAGATGCATCGACCCCCAATCGCCCATTGATCGCCGAAAGGGGCCCGATAGTCCCAACCCGCCCATGAGCGTGGAGATTTGCTATCGGGGCTCCAGCGCCGATCCATCGGCGACGTGTCGCCGATTCCATTTCAGTGTTCCCCCCCTACGCCAGTCCCCCATTATCGTTGCCCTTCGGTTCCCAGACCCCCTCCCGCTGTTACCGGTGTTACCGGAGGCCGTCGAACAACGACTCGGTATGAAAGACCGGTCCCAGCGGAGGGGTCCAGATTTCCTGCAGGGTCGACGCAGCGACAGGAGCATGAGGGCCGGGGGTCTGGGGCACGAGCGGTCCTTCTCGTGGCCCTCCTCCCTCGACTAGACGTAAGGAGTGACCTTTCGCCGGAGTGACCTTTGGTGCGGGCCCAATGGGTTCCCCAGGTCGCCAAACGCGATGCGATAGTAGCGTCTTGCGCGCTTGTGTTTGGTCCCCCCGCGGTCCCCAAACAGTCGCGCACCAAAGGTCACTCTTCAACTCTTACCCAGGGTTACTCTGGCGTGCAGTCGACTCCCTCCAGCCGCCTCTCGAGCTGCCGGCGGCCCAGTTGTTATGTTTGCTGTGCCAGCGTGTCGCGCCCCCGGTACTGGCCTCTACCACGCTTGCGCGCGACACGCCGTCCTCGTCCCCCGTCCCCGGGCGGCAGCGGTCCGGGAGCCCTCCGAGGCCGCCTCGCGGCCCGCGGAGCGGAGCGGCGCGCCATGCTCCTGCGAGAGGCGCAGCTTGTCGCCAAGGGGCCACCGTGGCGACACGCCGTCCAGAAGTGCCCGCCCGTGCCGTGGCGTGCTCCCTCCACGAGGCCAGTCGGGCGGCGCAGCGTGCGCCCGCCCCCTGACCGCTTCCGGGCGTCCCTCTCGAGCCCGTGCGGCGTGTGCGGGCCCGCTCGTCCGCGGCGCGGGCAGCCCAACGCGGGCTCGAGCACAGCGTGCGGGCGGGAACGTCGCCCGCTCGGCGCCCGGTTGGGCTCGATGTCCTGCGGCCACTCGGCAGCCGAACGGGCTCAGTGCCGATATCGGTTCCGATCGGCCACGCGCAGAGGGGGGGCCTGGGGAGGGGGAAGGCTTCGTGGAGGCACCCCTGCTTCTTGGAAGGCGCGGGCCTCGTCCGCAGCGCGGGCCTGGTGTGTAGGTGGGAGGCTGGCGCCTTCGACGGGGCGGCCTCCTCCTCAGAGGCCCTTCCCCGCCCCCCTACCCCACGCCGTGCGCGACGCCAGGAAGGCCCCGCAGGGTCCAGTGCTGGTTTTAATGCATGCTCCGCGTGCGGATCATGCATTGAAGATGCAGGGAGTTAGTACTACAAGCAACAATGCGTGCATGCAGAATTTCTTCATCGAATAATCATGTAGTAGAAATCCTATATTTCTAAAAATCCTATGTGTTAAGAACTGCCCTGTACCCCACGCCGTGCGCGACGCCAGGAAGGCCCCGCAGGGTCCTCTCATGAGTCAGAGATCGCGGGGACGCGCCCTGGAGTCGGCACGACTCCGCAGGGTGCCGTCCCGTCTCCTCGGGGCGCCCCGGCCTCCAAGCACGTGCCTTCGGAGAATGGGATCGACTGCAGAGTTTATGCACTCCAGAATCTTTGCTGTTGACACAGACGCGCAGATGATTCGTAGATCTGCGGGGCCTGATTGTCTTTGCTCGTAGCTTCGGGTTTCTGTCGTCGATCCCCGCGTTCGGCGCCCGGCTCGAGCAGCCTCGCCGCCCCTCAGCCTTCTCCCGCAGCAGCATTTGGAGGAGCCGCCAGTCTGAGGGGAGCCCTGGGGCCAACGTCTGCTGCCCCGGCGCGGATCAGAGGGCGCGGGCCTCGCGAGGGGCCTCGTGGGCAGCAGCCGGCGGGCAGGGGCGACAGGGGCGAGGGGGGCGAGGAGGGCGAGGGGGGCGAGGGGGGCGAGAGGGGCGAGGGGGGCGAGGGGGGCGAGGGGGGCGAGAGGGGCGAAGGGCGAGGGGCGAGGGCGAATAGGGGCGAAGGGGGCGATGGCGAGGGCGAGGGGGGCGAGACAGGGGCGAGGGGCGGGAGCGAGGGGCGAGGGCGAGCGCGAGGGGAAGGGGCGAGGGGCGAGGGCCTCGGCGCGCTTCTCGGCCTCCGGGAGCGCGGGCTCCACGCGGACGAGGCGGATCCTCCCTGGGGCAGTCAGGGGGCCAGAACCGTCGCACCGTCTCCTCTCCCAACATCTCCTCTCTCCTCCTCTCCTCTCTCCTTTCTTCTCTCTCCTCTCTCCACAGTCCTCCCTCCTGTATCCTCCCTCCCGCCTCCTACTCCTCCTCCTCCTCCTCCTTCACCATCCCCATCCCTCCGAGGAGGGAAAGGTATCGATACCGCTCCCCTTCTCCCGTGCTCCCCTTTTGGGACCTCCCGGGAGGCCCTCGTCGCCACCGCCAGACTCGCATCGAGGTTCTGGTCAGAACGCACCCCTGGGGAGGTCCGAAGAGTAGTGGTATTTGGTACCTTTTGGTCTTCCCACTTTCCTCACGCTCCCCCTCCTTCTGCGGAACGTCCTGGAAGCTTCACGCGGCGCGTCATAGTTGTATACTTTGGTCCACACGTCAGTGCCGTCGGCTATGGGACGACGCTCGCGCGGCGCTGCTCCGGCGTCCGTCCGACGTGAAGCCGAGGTAAGTCCGACGTGAAGTAGGCGTGAATCTGACGTCGATCCCCGACGTGAGTCGGGTCTCTGGTTGCCGCGCGAGGCCTCCAGGATTCTTCTTGCATCAGAGCGTGAATTACCCACCCCGCTTTCGCTTCCAGGAAAAACCAAGTCATACCACGCGCCTCCTCGTCAAGCGACCTGACCAGTACAGGCCGTAGTTTGGCATCGCTTGGTATCTCTTGGAAGCGAGGGTGGTCAAAAGCGAGGTAGGTTTATTTTCCCCCTATTGTAACCATCCCCATCCCCATCCAGACCCCCACCGTCTCAGCACCCCGGCCGGGGCATAGACCCGTCAAAAAGCCCGGGGGAGACGCGCCTACCTCCCCACCCAGGGGAAGGGGGGGAGGAACATGGGCCACTGGCGCCCAGCCCAGGCCACGCCGTCGGGGCCCGATGCTCAACACTGCTCATTAACGAGTAACGATTATTATTTCTTCTTCTATTGACGATGCTCCAGGGTGCTTGCGGCTGGGTCGGTCCGTCGGCGTCGCAAGTCGGTGGCTCGCTGTGGGTGCCGGTTCGGTCGGTGGTCGTGTCGCTGCCGCGTCGCTGCGGCCCATATGGGCCGCTTGCGGCCTGCCGATTTCGGTGTTTCGCCGTCGGCTCGGTCATGATCAGGGGGGGTAGCGTTAAGTCGGCATGTCCCTCTACAGGAGGAACATTCACAAGCAGTCAAAAATAGGCTGCGGACGATTTTTCAAGATTAAAAGAAAACGTATGTGTTGACTCTTTTTTAGTTTTCTGACTATTTCCCATTTTTCCTTCAAAATCTGCCTGTAGGAGGACATGCCCGACCTAAGGGTAACGCGCGCTGCTGGATGTTGCTCAAGGCGCCGCCTGAGGGGTTGAGTCCTAGAGGTGAGGCCAGGGTCAGAGTGGCCGTCACACTCCCATCCGCGTGTGCGGCGAGCTGTGCGTTCACACTGCTTGGTTGTAAAAAGGGGGCTGGGAGGTCGCAAGGAGAGGCCGGGGAGGGAGAGGGAGCGACGAGAGCGCTGAGGGAAGACGCGAAAGGGAGTCAAGGAGAGAGGAGACAGGATAGGCGGGGAGGGCAAGCTAAGTGCGCCCGCGGCGTATCTGACATCCTACCGCTCCCACCGAGTCCTTCACATTGCGTTGATGTGAGTCTGTATCCGCCGACGCGTATCATAGCCAATGTGGGAACCGCAGCAATACCCCACTCGGAAGGGTAGAGCTGCGTACAATGGAAGAGGAGGTGATAGATGAGCTGGAGGACGAGCAGGAGGACAATGATGAGGATGATGATGATGATGATTATGATGATGATGAGGATGAGGATGAACATATTCTCGATTTAATCTTAACCCGATGCTGTCCCCGTCCTGGCCTCCTCTCACGGAGGGGCCCGGCCTGACCACCGTTGGCCTTGCCCCCCCGCGGCGTGCCCCCCGCAGGTCCTCGACCCGCACGAGGCCTCCGGCGCCTCCGGCCGGGCGCGGCGCGGGGAGGGCGGTGGCCATGCCGAGGACGCGGCGCGGCGCGGCGCGGTCCCCGGCGCCGCCGCCGCCGCCCCGCACACGCACACGCGCACGCGTACGCGCACGCGCACGCGCGGCGCACGGCGCACGGCGCACGTGCACGCGCACGCGCACGCGCACGCGCACGCGCACGCGCACGCGCACGCGCACGCGCACGCGCACACGCACACGCACACGCACACGCACACGCACACGCACACGCACACGCACACGCGCACGCACGCACGCACGCACAGAGGAGGAAATGGTGCCCTCACCCTTGCCCCTTCCTTCCATCCGTCCTCTCTTCCCCTGCCTCAGGGGCTGCGCGAAGCACACGCTGCTGGCGACAGAAACCGTGTACTCCAGCGGGGGTGCGACCGAAATCGACGAGGGTGGGTATCGAGGGTTTGAGATAATACCTGTTGAACGGCACGCGAGCAGATAAGAGCGATCAGTCTCAAAAGCAGTGTTCTCCACCCGGAAGGTTGTGGCCCCCTGGCCAATCCCACCATGCATACCGCGGCCGCCAAACCTCAAGTTGTCCCGGTGATCCCCGAGGCTCCCGGGTGTCCCGCCTCGCGCCCGGCCAACCCCACCCTGCATACCGCGGCCGCCAGACCCCAGGTTGTCCCGATGATCAGTGAGAGTCCCCGGTGTCCCGCCGCGCGTCCTCGACGAACACGACAGAACCCAACAGGACAGAACAGAACATAACCGGACAGAGCATGACATAACATGACATACCATATCAGTCGCATAATAAAAGTAGAGCGTACCATTACATCAAATAACACACCAGAGCAGAACATGACAGAGCAGAAGGCGGCATAACATAAAACAACATACCACAACCGAGCATAACACAACACACCTTGCCATACTATCAGATCATGACACAGCATCACATACTATATCACAACATGAGAGCAGAGCATAGCGACTACGAACACGACATTATACAACATGGCATGACGTAACATGACAGACCAGAACACGTTCACGACAGGCCATCTCAGAACACAATTTAGCAATGCCATGACAACATAGAGCATACAATAACATCACACAACAGAGCAGATCATAACATGGCATAACATAATACGACATACACACAACATAACATAGCATATCCAAGCATAACACAACCCACCTTGACATAATATATCATATCACAACAACAACACATGACATAACACGGCAGCATAGCATAGCGATACAGATTAGCAGAGCGTATCATGATATACCATATGGAGCCGAGCCGTCAACCAACAGACCATCACAGAACATACCGGAGCAGTTCATGACATACCAGAAGACGACAGAAACACCACATCACAACACAAGACTGAGCATACGATATCACACTTTGTCAGAACGTATCGTCGAACAGACTTCATCACATATCATATGAAAACACGACAGCAGAGCAAAGCGACACATACTAACATAACATATTATATTATATCATACAGAGCCGAGACGTCAACAGATCATGACACACCATCACATGATATACCAGACGACGACATAACATAACATACCAGAACTGATACAAGCATAACATAACACACCATGGCATACCGTATCATATCACACCATGCCAGCATCACACCACCTGCCATACCAAGTCAGCAGCACATAGCGAACCATACTAGCATAGCATATCATCATATACCATATGATGTCGAGCTGTCAACAGCATCACATAACATTGCATGCTATATAATAACATGGCATACCATAGCATGCCATGACATAGTGCCACATCGCAGGCAATACCATATTATCTCCAAGAACATGTTGACAGAGACGAGCATATGAACACACTCAATCAAACCATAAACATACAAGTGAAGAGGAGCATCATAACAGACGATGCATCTACCCTCACAAGCGTCACGACGTCACGCCGGTCCGTCCACAACAGAACAGGACATACTAGAGCATAACACGAAAGAGCGTGACTGCATGGAACACGGTTGAACCGCTTTCGAATCCAGAAACGACAGGTTGTACAGTGGTGGAGAAGAGTACCACGACAGAACAGGACATTGCAAAACATACTAACAGAGCAGGTCGGATGATACTGTATTGAGCTGAGCCGTCAACAGCATCACGGAGCAAAAAATATTATAAGTTAGGTAGACATAACATATCATGACCTAATGTTGAGCCGCAGAGGAGAGCATAACATAACATACAAACGCAGATTGTGGCAGTAGCGAGCAGCAGGAGGCGGAGGACGAGGAGAAGGGAGGCGGACGAGGAGGAGGAGAGGTTTGCCTCACCTCCCTCCTCTTCCTCCTCCTTCGTCGTCCGCCTCCTCCTCCTGCTCCTCCTGCTGATGCTCTTCCTCTTCCTCTTTCAACAGGCTGCGGCTCTCTATCCGTTTTGCACCGCACCGGGGTTTCAATTTCTTTCGTCAGGAGCTCTGGGGTTGATGGATTTGGAGACAACGGAATCCACCACCCGACCCGACCGCAGCTCTGGCCGAGACCACAGGGCCTCGCGCGCAGCGTACCACCAATTAGGCGGCCGCGCGTCGTCGGGAACAAACGCTTGAGGGTTCGGTGGGGATCACTCGAAGCAAAATAATTGTTGTTCTTGTTGTAGTTGGATGTTGGTCATTGATTTTTGGTTGTTGTTTGGTGTTTGGTGTTTGGTGTTTGGTGTTTGTTGTCGTCGTCCCGCCCGCGACCCGGCCCGCGACCCACCCGCAACCCCACCCGCGACCCACCCCGCGACTCACCCGCGACCCATTTGCGATCCAACCGCCACCCACCCCGACCTACCCGCGACCCACCCGCGACCCACCCGCGACCCACCGCGCGACCCGCACGCCCGCCCACGCCCAACAGTGACTGACAGAGAAGCCTGCTACAGCCACGCACCAAGGGACAGTGAATGACCTTTTGGCCCCCTCGCTCTGATATTTACATATATATACACACAAGACTGCATTAGCGCTGCGCGCCATGCGACTTGGTCCTTTGAGATTGCACGGAAGCGAAATGCGTGCGTGCGTACATGCGCGAATGCATGTATACACGCGCGCGTGCATGCACGTTCCGTATGCATGTCTAGGTGTATACAATATATTTTCATTGTTGTATGTGTGTCTACAGCGTTCATATGTACATATAAATTTATGTGTGTAAGGGTATGAACATGCATATACAACTCGTACGGGGCATCCTCGGGCATCTCCGCTGCATGCCACGAGACCCTCAACGACTGGGTCACAATGTGAAATGTCATGGGAGCAAAATCGATGAATGTTGGCATTCGGAAGCATCGTGGGGGTGTTTTCGGGGCTCTCGTGGGCCGTTTTGGCGCCTTCGTCCTGGGGCCTTCTTGGGCCGTCTTGGGGAGGTTGGGCCCGCTGGAGCCCCTTTGGACCCGTCTTGGGCACTTTCGGGGACCTCCCATGGCCCTTTTGGGTCCGTGCTGGGAGCCCTTGGGGGGCCCCTTGGTTCCATGATGGGCTGTCTTGGGGCTCTCGTGGGCGATCGTGGGGCCCAGTTCGGCCGTCTTGAAGCTGTCTAGGGGGCCTTCTGGAGCGTCTTGAGGCGATCTCGGGGGCTTTGAAACCGTCTTGAAAGCTTATGGAATCCGAAAGGCGAATATGCTAAACATCAAAGTTTTGCGAAGGGAATTTGTCGATTTTTGTGCTTTGAAGGCGCCTTGGAAAGCTTTCTGGGGTGCCTTGGGGGTCTTTATGTTGGCATTCGGAAGCATCGTAGGGGTGTTTTCGGGGCCCTCGTGGGCCGTTTTGCGCCTTTATGGGGCGTCCTGGGGCCTTCTTGGGCCGTCTTGGGGAGGTTGGGCCCGCTGGAGTCCCCTTTGGACCCATCTTGGGCACTTTCGGGGACCTCCCATGGCCCTTTCGGGTCCGTGCTGGGAGCCCTTGGGGGCCTCTTGGTTCCATTATGGGCTGTCTTGGGGCTCTCGTGGGCGATCGTGGGGCCCGGCTCGGCCGTCTTGAAGCTTTCTTGGGGGCCTTCTGGGGCGTCTGGAGGCGATCTCGGGGGCTTTGAAACCGTCTTGAAAGCTGATGGAACCCGAAAGGCGAATATGCTAAACATCTAAGTTTTGCGAAGGGAATTTGTCGATTTTTGTGCTTTGAAGGCGCCTTGGAAAGCTTTCTGGGGTGCCTTGGGGGTCTTTATGTTGGCATTCGGAAGCATCGTGGGGGTGTTTTCGGGGCCCTCGTGGGCCGTTTTGGCGCCTTTATGGGCCGTCCTGGGGCCTTCTTGGGCCGTCTTGGGGAGGTTGGGCCCGCTGGAGCCCCCTTTGGACCCATCTTGGGCACTTTCGGGGACCTCCCATGGCCCTTTCGGGTCTGTGCTGGGAGCCCTTGGGGGGCCTCTTGGTTCCATTATGGGCTGTCTTGGGGCTCTCGTGGGCGATCGTGGGGCCCAGTTCGGCCGTCTTGAAGCTTTCTTGGGGGCCTTCTGGGGCGTCTGCAGGTGATCTCGGGGGCTTTGAAACCGTTTTGAAAGCTGATGAAATCCGACAGGCGAATATGCTAAACATGTAAGTTTTACGAAGGGAATGGGGCGATGTTTGTGCTCTAAAGGCCCCTTGGAAAGCTTTTGGGGGTGCCTTGGGGGTCTTTTGGGCCGTCCTGACGCAATTGGAGTCCCTCTTGGAGCGCTCTTGTGCTGTCTGGGGCCTCCCTTGAGCCTTTCTGATGACCCCTCGGATCGCTCTGGGTCTGCTGGCAAGGCGTTTGTGGAGACCCGGAAAGACGGGTGACCTTTTCCAAGAACGCCCAAGGGAGCCCGAGAACCCCAGATCCCGGGGGTCCAGTTTTTTTTGTTAAGGGGGGGGGACGGTTTCCCCCCCCCCGGGGCTTGTAAAAATATGGGAAGAGGAATATCTATATATATATATCTGTATATATATACACATATTTATATAGCTATGTTTTCATTTATGCATACATATATATAAATATTCATTCACACACATAGATATAAACATATATATATATATTATAATGCGTAGAGCACCGCAGATGCGGATAAGAGTGAGGGGGCGGTGGGGACGTTGAGAGTCTGCGAGACTCTAGAGAAAGTCCGCCGAAGGCGCCAAAGTCTTTCAAATTATACAGCGAGCCCGCCGCAGGCGCCTAGTTTTTTTGTTCTCGTTAAACCAATGTGGGTAGGACGCGGGTGGGTCGCAATTGAGTCGCGGCTGGCTCGCGGGTGGGTCGTTGTTGGGTCGCAGGTGGATCGTGGGTGAGTCGCGGGTGGGTCGCGGGGTGGGTCGCGAGAGGGTCGCAAGTGGGTCGCGATTCGGTCGCGGGTGGGTCGCGGGGTGGGTCGCGGGTGGCTCGCGGGTGGGTCGTTGTTGGGTCGCGGGTGGATCGTGGGTGGGTCGCGGGTGGGTCGCGGGGGGGGGTCGCGAGAGGGTCGCAAGTGGGTCGCGGGTAGGTCGCGGGTTGGTGGCGGGGTGGGTCGCGGGGTGCGTCGCGGGGTGGGTCGCGGGTTGGGTCACGGGTGGGTCGTGGGTGCGACGACGACAACAAAAACAACAATCACAACGCAACAAGCAGAATTTTCATCATGGATCTTTTTTTCAGCCACGCACCCAGGGACAATGAATGACCGTTCGGCCCTCTCTTTCTTATATTTTCATGTGTACACACATGTCTTGACCCAGGGGGTCACATGATCATATGTTCCTCTTGTCCTTCCTCCATTGTTGCCCTCTCCCGCAGTCCGTCCTGTCCACAGTTTCGAGCTGGATCCAGCCAGGGCGACGAGGGTCGCCCAAAAAGTGGAGGACGAGGAGGACTCCAGGATCCCACGACATGCAAGAACGTGACGTCGCAGCAAAACTCACAACCAACGTTCTCAGACAACTCTTCCGCGTCTTTGTTTGAGCTGCATTGGTCCGTGAGGATTCTGGGGCCCGATACCAGAGTGAAACTGCCAGCCGTGTTTTCCACGACGACTAGATCTACGGCTAGGATGAGGAGGTCATTTCTTTCGCGTCCCAGGCGCCATTTGACGACCAAACGGAGTTCGACAGTTGTGTGTAAGGACCGTTGCCGCTGGCGTTTGATATGTACAACGTCTCTAATAGGTGTCCCGTGGCATCCGTATCATGTCGTTGCATACACGCATGTTTCTCGGAGGAGAGAAACAAGCATACGAACATGACCAAAAGAGTTGGAGAAGTTGGAGGGGGAGGAGGAGACGGAGGAGGAGTCGGAGGAGGATCCTCTGTCTCCCTTACCCCTGGTGCGCCAGGACTTCCTCAGTGTCCCGATGGCGAACTTCCGAATCCGCGGGGCCGGCGGCAACGTGGAGACCATCCAGGCTGGCGCGAGGGGTAACACCACACCCCTCAGCGCCAGGGGGTCCTCGTCGTCGACAAAGATGGCGGAGAGGTCACAGTGAGGGAAAGAAGGAGGGAGAGGAGGAGGGCGGAGCAGAGGGAGGAGGAGGAGGAGGAGGAGGAGGAGGAGGAGGAGGAGGAGGAGGAGGAGGAGGAGGAGGAGGGGGAGGAGGAGGAGGGGGAGGAGGGGAGGAGGAGGAGGAGGAGGAGGAGAAGGAGGAGGAGGAGGAGGAGGAGGATGAGGAGGAGGAGATGGAGGAGGAGGAGGAGGAGGAGGAGGTGGAGGAGGTGGAGGAGGAGGAGAGAGAGGAGGATCGAGCCGGAAGGAGACGGGCACGGCATCTGCACTTTGTTCAGCCGGTCCCGGCCCCGCCGCCGGGCACCTTGCTCAAGGCATATGGCGGCTGGTTCGCGGAATTACATTCAAAAGCCCTAATATAAACGCGCGACCCTTGCGTCCTTGCTCTTCCTTGCTCTTGCGTCCTTGGGGTTTTCGTCGTCCGCCACCCAAAAATCCCAACTTCGGCTTCCAAGGGTCTTGCGTCCTTACCGCGCGTCCTTATTAGGGTTTTTGACTGTACCCTGTACTATCCCTCCCTCCCTATCCGCCCGCCCAGAGAGGAGGATTACCCATCGGTCGTCGAATTTAGGTATTTTTGGATTTCCATGCTCCAGTATTGTGCTAAGCGCCTTCCAACTTCCAGAATCGAGCGGCTTCGCCTTTTCCGTCCTCTTTGAGGGGGCGGGCGCCTCCCTATTTTTCATGTTTCTGCCTACTTCCCCCGACCGACGGGCAACGGGGTGGAGGAGGAGGACCAGGGTCTTCTGCTGCCCGTCTTTGCCCGCAGCGCCCCCCCGCCTGATTAAGTTGCTTGCTACTTCGCTTGAAATCAAAATCGGCGATTGTTCGTCTTTGCACTTCACGAATGACACGCACAACGATCTCCGATCCATGTCTGTGCAACGTCATCAAAAAGCAGGACCAGAGTAAACCCAAGATGTGTAAACGATGCTGCAATACACCCTCTCCCGAGTCATGCGTCCCCCTGCATGCCCTTGCGCCTCTCTGGAGAAACAATAAACAGCTCAATTGACATCAGTTGACTCTGCAATATTGTGGAGCGAGGCACTTTAAACAGTTCCTCGTATCATTCAGCGAGGTGTCCTTCCATATCCCCCTTTGGAAGCAGGAGCGCTTCCCATCCGCGCTACGTGCGTTGAATTTCGGGTACTGAAACCTTACGAAGGCGCGAAGTCCATGTTGAGCAAGAGCAGTCCCCGACTCTACGAAACAACGAATCTAAAAGTGGACGCGCCGCGCTGCGGCGAGAGGTCCATTCTGAACAGGAGCCGCCCTCCGCCCGGAGCGCTGTTCAAAGGAATGTGCGGCTGTAAGGTGAGCTCACTTTTGACCACGCCCCCTCCCCCTCCATCCGTGAGCATGTTGCACACGTCTGCAAAGAATGTGCGTGGCGCTCAGGCGAAAGCCACATTTTGAATACGGACCCCCCGTCCATCTTTGAAGCTGCTGCCAGCGTTTACGAAGAATGCGCGCGGTGCTGAGGCGAGCGCCGCAGTTTCGAAAAGGACACGCCCTCCTCCTGTGGAGCTGACGCGAACTGTCCCAACGAACGCACGCTGCGCTAAGCCAAGAGCCACATGTTGACCACGACATTTTTTGAACACGCCCCCCCTTCATCCGCGAAGCTGCGTCAGTTCTGAAGATACGAATGCGCGCAGTGCTTTGGCGGGGGCCGCATTGTGAACTCGCCCCCCCATCCGTCAGTGGCACTTTTGCGTCTGTTCAAACGAATGCGCGCTGAGACGAAAGCCACATTCCCCCCCCCCCGTCCATCCGCGAAACCGTTGCAGCTTTCAAGCTTCAGAATCATACATGGTGCAGAAGTATCAGGCGGAACGCCGGGCCCGCCCTGCCGACACGCCTGGGTATGCGGCAGCGGTGATGTGGAGCAGAGGGAGGAGAAGGGGAGCAGCTTTTCGGAGGTTTCGGAAGTTCGGTTTGCGTTCCGATGGTTCGCAGAAGTCCTAACCCTCCTCCCCATCGCCAGTTTTCCCAGCTGGGTATCTAGTTGGTTGCCAGGCGTGGGGCCCGACGCTGACCCCATCGGGGCATTGAACGTCGGGAGACATCTCCGCCCCAGTGCTTCTTGTGCGCTGGATGTCCGGGAGGGGGGGGAGGGGCCGGGGCAGTTTCGGCAGCACCCGGCCCGGTTTCCCACCCCCCGCCCGTCCAGGACCTGTTCTCGGGGATTGCTAGAGGTGCTGCCCCCCGCTTTTCGCTCGATTTGGGAGCCCCTGGGGGCCCTCTGGGCCTCGTGAACAGGTGCTCGCGAGGCCGTGGGGGCCTCCTTGGAAGCTCTGGGGCACCTCGGGCCAGGGGCACTTCTAGCAACACCCGAATTTCGCTCCGATCGCTCCGACTCGATGAAGATCTCGGCCGCCTTTATTCAGGAGGGAAAGAAACACACAGTCACAATGAATCGTCGACTCCCAGGAAAATATGGGAAAATATGGGAAGCGAGGGGGAAGACGAAAACCCAGAAAATATGGGAAAATATAGGGAATCTGTTTATCTATGTGTATTTCTTTGTGTGTCCTGGGGCCCCTTCGTTTGTATCCGATGCGGCCCGCTGCTTGCACGCCGCCGTCGTGCACCCCTGGCGCGGCCGAGCCGCTGCGCCTCCGCCTCCTCCGGGCCGGTGCGGCCCGCTCCGGCACGCGTCCCGATGCCGATGCCGTGTTCCGATGCGGCCGCCGGGTGGCAGCCGTGGTGCAGCGCATCGTTGAGCGGTGTGGCGCGGAGCTGCGCGGCGTTGAGCGCTGTTGCGCGGCCGTGCTGCTCTGGCGAGCTGCGAGTCACGATTCCCGAGAGCCATCGATGGATCGGGCACGTAACTCGCCCACCCTCGACCGTTCAAATGGGGGGGAATCGATGCGGGCAGCAGTGTGCATCGGGTCGGTGCTGGCCGATGCCGCCATCCCCACCAGGGTCGGGGGCGGCCAAGAGGGGGGGGTCATGACTCGGGGGGTGGATCTCATGGCGGGGGCAATGATCTCTCCCCAGACTTCGTGGCGCCCCTTCGCATGTCAACACGCCCGTGGCGCCCCCAACCTGGGCCGCGCACATGCCGCCGGCCATGATTCGCGCCCCCCCCTCTCTTGGACGCCCCCCTCTTGGCCGACCCCGACTCACCACCCACCACACCACCCCAGCCCGACCCGAAGGCCCCAATCTTCCCTCCTGGGAGGTGGGGGTCGGGGTGTATTGAAAAAACACATGAAGCCCGTACATTGGAGACCCGCGCCAAGAAGCATCGTGCTTGCCTCCAGGGTGCCCTGGGTTTCTTGAGTTTCGATGGTTTTGCTCTGGAAAGCGTGACGCTCACACGCCAGAGATCGGTGGATGTCCTGCGGTCTCGGGATTGGGCTTCTCGTGGAAGGCTCTCTTGTGGTCGAACTCCTACTGCACCCTCCCCCTCCCTCCCGAAATTCGGGCCTTCGGGTTGGGCTTGGGGTGGTTCAGGAGGGAAAAAACACAGACAGAATTAATCGTCGACTCCCAGGAGAATATGGGGAAATATGGGAAGCGGGGGGGAAGACGAAAACCTAGAAAATATATGAAGATATGGGGAACCTTGTTATTAGTGTATATTTGTGTGTGTGTGTGTGTCTTAGGGCCCCTTCATGGTAGGCAGTCGCTCCTCCGAGCGACAGCGCGCGCGCGCCCCCCCCCGCCCCTCGCGCCCAGTTCCGCCGCGCCGGCGACTCCCGGGGCAGCCAGCGCAGCGGCGCGGCGGGGAGCGAGGGGCAGAAGCTGATGGTGCGCTCCGCCCCGGGGGAGCCTGCTGCTCTCGGCTCGAAGAGGTCGAGGTCCTGGTGTTATGTTTAAACCCTCTTGGAAGGTCAGGGCACGGGGGGGGGGGGGGGGGCGAAACGGGGGGTGCACTTGTAGGAAAGGAACCAAACGTATGAACATAAACTTGTGGCGCTCCGCGCGGATTTCTTGGATCCGCGCTGGGCGCCCCCGGCGGCGTCTCTGGCGCCGCCCCTGGCGCGTTCCGCGCGCCAGGGAGGGGAGCCCAGCGCAGATCCGAGAAATCCGCGCGGAGCGCCAAAAGTTTATGTGTCTGGCGTTGTTTCTCCTTATATCGGCGATGAGCGAGGAGGGGAAGTGAGAAGGAGAAGGCCTTCTCAGAAGGCGGCGGGGCTGCTTAGAAGTCCTCGAGCCTTCGGAGAGGTGTTCTGCGTCGTTGGGGAAGGCTCAGAGAACTTCTGGTAGCAGATCATGGGAGCCTGGAATAGCCTCCTACTTTCGTCGTTAGGCTCGACTAGCGTCGATTAGCGTCTGGGAGTCGATGAGATAGCGCCGATTTAGCGTCGGTTTGCTTCGACCAGCGTCGATGCAGCGTCGATTAGCGTCGATTTAGCGTTGACTAGCATCGATTCGCAAGCGCCGACAAGATGGTATGGGAGGCTCCCATGAGTTGCCACCGAACTCTGCTCGAGGGAGCCTGCTGCTCGGTAGGGGGGAGGGATCGGAGGAGTCGGACGAAGATCGAGGACCCACGAGCCATTTCCACTCTCTTGATTCGAATCGGCTCGACTCCTAGGATGTAGGTGCTTGATATTTCGATTCGATGCGACTCCGGATTCCGACTTGGGTTTGGGTTTGTTTGTGCAGGCCTCGATCCGGACCGCCTGACGTCGATTTCGATACCGTCCGACCTTCCTCCCGATATCTGCCCATTCGACGTATTTCGATTGCCGATTCATTTGTCTCATTCGTTCTTGGGTCATCACGCCCATACATCCGACATCTGAGCACAACTCAAGTCTGACGTGTTTCACAATTTTCGGGTCTCGGGGACCGTCCGTAAAGACTCGGGACGAACACAGCTGGTCCTGGGAAAAGCGTCGGGACTTTCGGAACATCGAAAAACAATGGAATTTTATGAGGATGATTCAGGTGGAGTGGGAAGGGGATCTTGCGGGCGAGGCGGATCGAGGAGCAGGAGTCTCGATGTTTGAGGATCGTGAGGGAGGAGGAGTAGGATGTTCGAGCAGCCGCGCGGAGGAGGAGGAGGAGGAGGAGGAGGAGGAGGAGGAGGAGGAGGAGGAGGAGGAGGAGGAGGAGGAGGAGGAGGAGGAGGAGGAGGAGGAGGAGGAGGCTCGAGGATCGCTGGCTCCACTTTGATCCGATATCGATGCTGGCCCGCTCGAGCCGATTCGGTTGCCATATCTGTCAGGCGCTGCTGTGCGTCCTGTCGCGGCCGGTCCGATTCGGTTTCGGCTGCGTGCAGAGGCAGGCCGAGTCAGCGCCAATTCCGACCCCGAACGATTTTTCGTCTCGATGCTGATTGATTGTGCTCGATTGCGGAGGAGGGAGGAGGAGGGAGGAGGAAGGATCCCACGCCGTCCAGATGGACACCACTCGGGCCCCGCGTGGGCGGCCTTCATGGAGTAGGAGGAGGAGGAGGAGGAGGAGGAGGAGGAGGAGGAGGAGGAGGAGGAGGAGGGGGAGGGGGATGGGGAGGAGGAGGAGGAGGAGGAGGAGGAGGAGGAGGAGGGTGAACTTTTTGCTGTTTCTGGATACTTCTGGGGGGCGTCCTGGGGGGCCACCGTCGCATCGACACGGCGGGGTCCGCTTCAGCATCCTGATCTGCAGTCAGAGCGTGCCCCGGGACAGTTCAAGGAGGAGGGGGGTCTCAGGCGCGGGGAGGAGATGAGGAGAAGGGAGACGACGTGGGAGGAGGAGGAGGACGGTTTGAGAGGATCGTGGGCGTTTCAGAGGGAGGGGAAGAGAAGAGAGGAGGGAGGCGGATGATTATGATTTTGAAGGTTGAGGATGTTTCAGAAGGGGAAGCCATGAGGGAGGAGGAGGAGGAGGATGAGGAGGAGGAGGAGGAGGAGGAGGACCAGTGTCAACCCAATACGCATCAATTATGTTGCAACAACCCCTCCCTCAAAGTTCCCACTTCATAGGTCTCCACAAGGAGTTGATTATCATCACAGGAAGTGCCCCATTGGAAGACAACGGGTTGAGAATCCCAGACAGTGTCAAAACATGATTTAAGGGTTCCAACGCCGGGAATCAACGTGACCGTCGCGTCCTGACACGCCAGATTCGCACCATAATGCCATGTCTGGGAGTTCATCACAGCGAATCAGCGTGATTGCTGCGACTTGGCGGGAAAGTGGTTCTTGGCGGGAAAGCGAGGAGGAAAAGAAGGAGGAGGAGGAGGCAGGAAGGGGCGCTTTGAGTGTGAAAAGCGCTTCAGGATGAGAATTGAGGAGGACGAGGCCCCGAGGGCTGGAGGGATTAAGATCAGGAGGATTTGGCATGTAAGGCGAATCGTCTCGATGTTGCACATCAGCTAGACATCGCCAACATCCCGTCGTCTTTCAACTTCATCCTTCGGCATAAACGGGGTGGTGATTCGGTCCGGCCGTGAAGGATTTGTGGGAATAGTTCGACACGCCCTAGGAGCTGTGAGTTGCTGCTTTCATCTCGGCAGTAGGGGTATCATGTCTCGTGTGCGTCATCCGGTCTCAAAATAGAAGCTCATCAATGTTCCTACACGTGTGTTTCGCAAGCATTCTCCAGGGGCGCCACAGGTTTCTTGGCTTGTGTTGGCCAGTTTTTGTCAGCGTGTTCGCAGCGTTGCTTTTTCGGTTCCTTTTTCCAACGTTGCGCCGGCAGGGACCGCTTAGGCAGCAGAACCCCCCCGTGCACCACGGTGCCTGCCACAGGGGGCCCTTGAGAACGCTAAGGCAATTTGCCCCAAGTATGTGGCAAGCATTATTCGTTGCTCGGCCGTGCCACTCTCTCTTCTCCAAAGCTCATTTTCGGTGAATGACCAGGGCGTGCCATATGTGAGCGAAGATGAGCTCATACCGCGTCAATCTTGCCAAGGGCGGTTCTTGGCGTTGTTGTGCACCGCAGGCGGCGCCCGGAGAGCTCCGCCCACCGTTCCGCGGGCCTGCCGCGCGCGGTCCCTGCAAGCGATGCGCGCGTCGGGCGCGGCCGCGGAGGCCATCCGTGGTGACTTCCCGTCGTTCATGCGCGCCGCTGACTCCAACAACCCAACCTCCTCTCTGGAGGGGTGGGGGGGGCAGGGATGAGGAGGATGAGGAGGGAGGAGGAAACTTCTTCTTTACGTCTAGTCCCACATACATATATGAATACATGTATATGTCTGTTTATATATAAATACACATACAGCGTTCATACATTTATATATAAAACAGGCAAAGTAGCATACATATCTGATTATATCTGTATATACGCGCACATCCGTCGCCCCAGCTGGATGCGCCTCGCCTCGCAGTCCTGAACATCGGGCAGCGGGTCCTTCTCAGAAGGCTCGGAAGTTCCTCGGCCTTCTGAGAAGCTTTCTAAGCCTTCCCCGAAGACACAGACAACTTCCCAGAAGGTGCGAGGGTTTCTGTGAAGTCCCGACGCCTTCTGAGATGGCAGTCTCTTTCTCACTTCCCCCCCTCGCTATCACCCGATTCCTCCTCATCCTCCTCTGAGGCTGCAGGGGATCGCGAAGTCATTCGCGCTAGCTGCGCTTCGCGCAGCGTGAAGCGCGATGTGAGGCGCCATTGCCTTACGGAGAGCCGGCGGTTCCTCTAGTTCTGTCCCAGCCGTGGCCAGCATATCGCAGTTGTTCCAGATCCGCTGTGGTCCCCGCTAACTTGTTGCAGCCCTGGTCACCTGCATTCGTCCGGGATGTCCTTCGCCCGCTGGTTTCCAGCTGTGCGTTGCTCCACTGTTCTCAGTTGGTTGGCATCATTGCGCGTTCAGGCGCACGATTGAACGAGGAGGAACACCAGATCGGGAGTATCAGGGGGAAACAATAATTCTTTTGGGAAGCAGGCTGGGTAAAACGTCTCTTGTGAGCAGTTGACTACATTTCGTGCATTGGCAGAACTGTAAGTTGTCTCGTATCCCTGGCCAATTCAGAGAGCACACGTCCGCCGCCATGTTGATGCTGAGGGAGCCGGGACACGTCGCCCAGAGTGCGAACAGTTGATGCACATGCCTCCTCTTTTTGGTCTGGCATCAACCTCATTGCGCCAAGGCTGTGCGAGCCCACGTTCTGACAGGCCCCTCCTCGATTCGATGCGATGATTCGATTCCGATTTTGTGATGATCCGATGTGGGCCGATGCTGGTACAGCCTGGTTGTGCATCCGGGCGGGGTCGAACCGATTCGACCTGGTTGCCGTGCCGATGCGGCCCGATCCGACACACGTTCAGATCCGATATGCGTCTGCGAATCGATGATGCTTGCTTCTGCCCTCGTCCTCGGTGATCGCTGTTCTGCAGCAGAGAAGGGAACAAATAGTTGGCGGGGCAGGACCATCCTGTGGTGGAACGCCTGGGCGCTTCCGATCTTGTGGAGGACCGGCCGATCGCACACGGGTTGGCAAGCACAACACACCTTCATTATCAGCGCGAGGGAAAGATCGGCACACGCAACGAAAACATTGGTTCTCATAAGGATATGGGAAAGGGAGGGAGAGAGACACATCCAGGACATCGGCGAACATGATGTACATCCTCGGAAGGTCGTCGTTTTCTTATTCGTTGGTTTGCCGATCGGCGCGGGCCCTCGCACCCCCCCTCCCCTCCACATGGGTCAGATCTTGGATGTTTTTGGCGCCTGTTCCGAGCAGGGAAAAGTCTCCCCCACAGGACGCACTGCTGCAAACAGTTGCTTTGAGCAATGGTCCGGAGCCAGATCGCCCCCCTTCCCCCCAGCCCTTTCCGCCCAGTGTCGAAACGGCAAGCAAGAAAACGTTCACAAGGTGTGCCGAGGTCTGTGGTTGTCCCCTCGGCAGCCGCCGCGGCCCGCCGGCGGGGCTGGCCGCGTCGCCGCTCGGGGAGCGACCCGTCCCCCCTGGGCCGCTCGCTCCGTCCACCCCTCTTTCGGCCGCCCCCCCCCGCTTCTCCTATTGCATGGTGGCACAATTCGCTCTAATGGCATCCCCGTTTAGGCCTGATCCCCATCGCTGGCGCAGACGTCCCCTGCCTAGCCTCCGACGCAAAAATGTGTGTCCCCTTGGTCCAGCAGAGGCGAAGCGTCCTGGCACGCCTATAGGCCCACCAGAGAGAGAATGTTCTAAGAACCTTTGGCGGTCTGCACGACATGTTCTTGGAACACCTCTGGCCGAGGCTGTCTCGTTTGACGAACGACATCGGGCTTCTGTTCTGAGAGCCTCGTTTTTGTCCTCAGAACCTCTTCGCGTTCTGAGGACACCTCGTGGCAGGCCGACAGGCATGCCATGCCAGGACGGCCGGTCCCCTGCTCAGAACTTGAGCCCCTCTCCGTCCCTCCGGGGGGCGCCGGCTCCCCGTCGGGCCCAATCTTACCGATCTCGAACTTATCCCTATCCCTAAGATTGACACGCCAAGAGGCGATGACAATCTTAGGGATATGCCCTCAAAAAATAAGAGATTCCCTAAGATTGGCATCGTGATGAGGAGATGCCCAGCATAGGGATAGGGATATGTTCCAGGCTGGTGACAATCCCCCCCCGGGCGGGGCCGCCGCCCGGGCCTCCCCGGGAGGGCGGCTCGGGCCTGCGGCGGGAGGCGGCGAGGAGCGGCGCAGGTGGGGCAGAGGGCGCCCCCGTCCGCGCGAGTCTGTGCTCGTGCTGTGTCGGGCATGTCCCCCTACAGAGGGATTTTCGACGAGAAAAAATGAAAATACCTCAAACATAATCCCAGAACGTCGACAAATACCCCAAAAATGCTCCCCATACTATTTTTGGTGTATTTTTTTTGATTATTTCTGGAGCATTTTTTGTTTTTTCGTCGAAAATCCCTCTGTAGGGGGACAGGCCCGAAATAATGCTCGTGCCAGGTGTCCGAGGAGGAAATCAAAATCGGTGGCTTCCCACCACAGGGCTCCTTTCGGTGCCGCCGACGATGCCGCTCGATTCGATTCCCATGGACCCCGATGCAGCTTCGAGTCGATTTCGGATGCCGATTCGGGATCCGTTGTCTCACTGGAGGCCCACCAGCCTGCCGATGTCTGCCGGTTCGACTTCTCCCGACTTGGCTGCCGATGTCCGCCGATTCGATTCATGTCGATCGCCGATCCGAATTATCGATTGACCTCTGGGCTCTCCTGCCCCTTGCCTTACTACAGGGGCCCAGGGACACACAATTAAACAGGCACAACTCCCAAGATTCCCAGTAGTTCCCAATATTTCCTGCTGTCCGCCCCCACCCCCCCCACTTTTTCATATACATCTAGATACACAAATCTATCATGATATTCTCATGTGTGGGTTTTTGTTCGGCAGCGACCGAGGGGGGGAAGTGAGGAGGAGAAGGCCTTCTCAGACTGCTCGGAAGTCACCTGGCCTTCCGAGGAGTTTTTGAGCCTTCCCCGAAGACAGACAAACACTTGTCAGAAGGCGCGAGGGTTTCTGAGGAGTCCCGCGGCCTTCCGAGAAGGCCGTCTTCTCATTCCCCCTCCCCTCGCTCGCCGCGCCGAAAAAAGGTATTCATTCCGCTACCCTTCCTGCGTTTTCGCCTCGTAAGGCCTCCTGGAAGGCCCTCGTCGCCATGGCTGGATTCGCCTCGAGCGCTGATCCGAACGCACCCCAGGAAAGGTCCGCGGAGTAGAGGTGTCGGTACCCCTCTCGTTGACCCAAAGGTGTCATACACGAGAGTTGCCGCGATTGGCGCTCAGCAATCAAGTATTGTTTTATTTCCCTCGCCGCACGAATTCAGCCAAGGTCCGATACATGTATATATATACACATCTATATATGTATATATGTATATATATATATACAGTATGGGAATCAGTGGTGGGCACTGATGCGCTCGGAACAGGCTCCGTCATTGCTCCCGCTCCAAGATCCAAGATGAGGTGCAACATCAGGCCTGGGTCGATCGAGCTTGCTGCATGTCTCTTCGGGATATGTCGTATTCGCATTCGATTGTTGGCCAAGGGCAGGACATGCGGACAATCATATGAGTTCTGTTTGAACGCCTGGTGTCTGTCATCACTTGGCGATAACGGCGCTGCTGGGGTGGAGCAGTAACTTCACGAGGTGTGCCAGCAGCTCCTGGAAGCGACTAGGAGTAGGGACGACGACGATGACAATTATCGAGGTCGTCCAGGGAATGGTGGCTGCCTCCAGAGATACCAACGTGCTTGACAGCACCACAATGTACGTAGTTCGGTCAAGATCTTAACAGTGCGATTGCGACCGCAAGGACTCGGCGGTGCGATTTGGACGCCACCAGGGGGGCGGGCCTTCGTAGTGGTAGTTTTTTCGTGGGCAGGTCGCTTACTATATTGAAGCGGATGTCGTTCCATCGCCCTCATGAGTGTAATGCAACCTGGCGTAATGTAATGTGATGCTCCATGCGTGCTATGCGCGCGAGGGAGGCGTTCAACAGGAGGCGTGTGCTTGTCCGGCACGCGGGCAGATAGAGGACATGATGCCCTTAGCAGCGAAAGTCGTAAGGGGTCCGAATCGTTTTGAGTTTGCAATCCTGGTTCAGGCAATGCGCAAGTTGGTGTGCCATGCGGCGCTTATCTTTCAGACTGTAAATTCCCGTGCCGTGCCGTGTGTGGATGCGACAAAGATGTCTTGCCGTGTTCGGTCTTCCAGAACGGGAAGGAAGTCACAGCGCCGTGACGTGCCCGGCTTCTAGACTGCGAAGACGGTGCTGCGCTGTGTCGCGCCTGGTTTCCAGACTGCACCGCAGTTGTCCCTCCATGCCGTGGCTGATTGCCAGACTGCGAAAATGTGGCCGTGCCGTGCCCTGTATGGTGAATGCGACAAAATTGTTGTGCCATGGCGTGCTTGGTTTTCAGAATGGGGAATAGTTGCAGTGCCGCTACGTGCCGTGTCTCCAGAGTGCGAAAACGTGTTCGTGCCGTGCCGTGCCGTGTGTGGATGCGGAAAAGATGCCGTGCCGTGTTCGGTCTTTCAGAACAGGAAGGAAGTCACAGCGCGGTGACGTGCCCGGCTTCTAGACTGCGAAGACGGTGTTGCGCTGTGTCGCGCCTGGTTTCCAGAGTGCAACACAGTTGCCCCTCCATGCCGTGGCTGATTGCCAGACTGCGAAAATGTCGCCGTGCCGTGCCCTGTATGGCGAATGCGACAATATTATTGTGCCGTGGCGTGCTTGGTTTTCAGAATGGGGAATAGTTGCAGTGCCGCTACGTGCCGTGTCTCCAGACTGCGAAAACGTGTTCGTGTCGTGCCGTGCCTCGCTCGAGTGCACGCGAAACAGTTGTGGTGCCGTGCTCGGTTGTCACAGTGCTGTAAAGTTGCCTTGTGGCACCTGGTTCCCAGAAGGCATGCGAAAAAGGGTGTTGCGGCTTGCCGCTGTCTGATGTTCAGAATGTGCAACAGTTCTCGTGCCGTGCATGATTTCCTTGGCATCGCTCGGACGTGTGCATTTTTCCTTCGGCGAGGACCATCGAGGAGCATCCTTGATCATTTGGCGAAAAAGCCACGCACGAAACCGAAAAAAAACACAGGGAATGGACGTCCGAGCGATGGCGAGTTTCCATCTTGCAGAAGTTAGCCGTCCCGCGCCGTGCCGACCATGTGTCGTACCACCTATCGTTGATGTCCATGATCTCTCTGTCGGCGTAGTCTGGCCAGCTGACCGTGCCTGCGTGGCCAGTGTCGCGCCGCAGGGTCCCGGTTCGATTTTGCAGGTGGCGCTTGACAATACGACAGGGTAATTGTTGATATGGTCCGTGTTGTAGAGCAATGGTCTGGGCTGCCTTTGGGCGAGTCTTGTGTCCTCCCGGGTGTCTTCTTGCAGTCAATCCAGTGGCCTCGGTGCCCAATGCCGGCCGCGGCTCGAGCAGGCGCGGGGGGGGGGTCTGGGCGCCGCGCCACGTGCTCCCAGTCCACCCACCCCGCACTGGCACGGTGAACACATTCCCGCCCTCCCCGAGTGCCGAAGGCCGGATGAGGAATACAGCATAATATGGAGCAGGGAAGCGAGATTTGAGTGTGTGGTGGTGGTCATCTCCCTGGCGCCAAGCTCAACGAGAATGACCACAACCACTGCTTTGTTTCTGCTGGCGGGAAGGCGGCAACGAAAGAAAAGCAGTGGCTGTGGTCGTTTTCGCGCCCCGTAGTGTGTGTGTGTGTGTGTGTTTGTGTGTGTGTGTGTGTGTGTGTGTGCGCACCATGCTTGTCCTGCGGGAGGCATCGGTTTCCGATGGGGCACAGAGTCAGGCCTCCCTTGTTGATAATGGCACCTCCCTTTGGAGGAGGATGTATCATGGTAATGGTATCTCTCTGATTGGATCATGTAACATCCTCTCGTGGGGAGATGAAGGGAAGGGATACACGAATGAGGGAGGCGGAGGAGGAAGCGAAGGACGAGTAGGCGTGTCCTGAGGAAGTC